CTATTCAGCACTGGTGAGGACACATCTGGAGTACTGTGTTCATTTTTGGACCCCCCAGTACAGAAAAGATGTGGACAAATTGGAGAGAGTCCAGAGGATGGCAACAAAAGTGGTGAGGGGACTGGGGCCATGACCTATGAAGAGAGGCTGAGAGAACTGGGTTTATTTAGTCTAGAGAAAAGACTGAAGGGGGGATTTGATAGTAGCCTTCAACTACCTGAAGCGGGGTTTAAAAGAGGATGGAACTAGACTGTTCTCAGTGGTGGCAGATGACAGAACAAGGAGCAATGGTCTCAAGTTGCAGCAAGGGAAGTTTAGGTTAGATATTAGGAAAAATTTGCTCACTAGGAGGGTAGTAAAACACTGGAAGAGGTTACACAGAGAAGTGGTGGAATCTCTGGCCTTGGAGGTTTTCAAGACCTGACTAGACAAAGCTTTGGCTGGGATGATCTAGCTGGGGCTGGCATAGGTGACCTCCTGAGGTCCCTTCCAACCCTCATTTTCTATGATTCTAGGCTCCAGAGTCAATTAGTGCTGTTCTATGAATGGGGTCTGGACACAATTCCTTCCATCACAAGTCTGGGCAGTCTTTATACCAGTCTTGGAAGCAAGGGATTATGACTGGAATCCAAACTTATGTCAACTCTGTTCTTTCTGTATATTGTAAGCCATTACATTTCATCCAGTTCCTCTATGCTGAGCCCAATAACAAGGGTTAGAGTCAAATATTTCAGTCATCAGGAAATTAACATGCCATAGACACTGAACATGAATGTCTGTGGTGATTTTGGTGCCTGAAACTCCTGCAATGGCAAAGAATTGATTAGGTGGGATATGCCCCTCCGAGTGCCCTGGCCCTACACACTGCTACCACTGCATTACTTAACTGGCTGCAATATGGCTTTTTTAACATGAGAAGAAAAACGGTGTTTAGTGAGCACTCTTGCAACATGCACACTTGGGCAGAGTTTATTGCTTCCAGGTGCTGCATTTGAACATGTGCCCAGGACTGCAACACCTTGCGGCGGGTCAGTGCAGCCCTGGCTGGCAGGGGATCTGGGGGGCCAGCCTGCCAACTCAGGACTGCTCTGCCCCAGCTCGATGTGCAGCAGAGGGGCTGGCTGGGGCATGAGGGTACTCCAGTTCAGGGCTAGCCAGCAGCCAGCCACCACAATAAAGCACCCTCGTGCCCCAGCCAGCCCCGTCAGCATCTACATGTGTGTTGCTGTGCACTAAAGGACTCCACTGTAAAATCATAACTGTGTTTACAAGTATTAACCTGTGGCGGAGTTAATTAGTTTCTTGTGGCCTAATAGGGCTGCATGTGTAGATGTTGAGACTATACTGTGGAGCTAATTAGGCAGCTCTGCAGTAATTGTCTTATATAGATGCACCCCCTGTCCATTCTTTCAGAAGCTGCAGATCTTTTTTGTCTTCACTCTTTCCTAGTGAACTGGATTACCATGATTCTGTAAGCGTCAATGATCGATGCCAGAAGATATGTGACCAATGGGACAAACTGGGAACACTTACTCAGAAAAGGAGAGAGGCATTGGAGGTAAATTTTACATCAATAAGCTGCTGGGTTTTTTTTAATGAAGCTCTAGGGTTCAGAAAAGATCCACTATTGATTTTTAATGCTCCAGACCCAGACTGTAATAACCCTTTTCCTCATTTTTCCACTTCAATTTGCTGTGGTTTGATTTGCCAAATACATTTACCTACTTTTAACAGATTTAACAGTGCTCTGCTGACAGATACGATTGTAGAGCAGGAACAAAATGAATTTGTCTCTCAAGAGGTGGTTTATAGCACCACCCTTTGGGAATGATGCCTAAAAGCGATATCCATTAGGCAACCACTTTTCTGTATTTGCTTCAACAAAACACAGACTGAGAGGCAAGATAATGGCAATGGTTTTGTAGACTTTTGGATGACAGGGATTCCTAGGCAGTGAAATCCATTTTTATTCAGGTTATGTTTACACTGATCTCAGGATTATAGGAAAGTAGGGTCAGAAGGCACCTCATGATGTCACCTAGTTCAGCTCCCTGCTCAAGGCAGGATCATCCCCTGAAGAAGTGTGGGATCAACACTACCCACCTATATCTTTCTGCAGTATGTTTAGAACTTCATTGCACATTGTTCAAGTCCAGGAAGTCCATCAGAAGCAACAATGCATTCCCCTGTTCCTGAGAGCTGGCCCTTTTATATCCCCCTTTTGTATCCTGCTCTCTGTCTCTGCTGCCCATAAGGAGAGAGAGGTCTGTAATCCAGTTCCTAGAAGGGCTCCACTTTGCAAATAAGAAGCATGATATAGATGGTTATGCTGCTGGCTACAAGGTGTGATACAAACAAAGAAAGGCAGGTCACATGGCTCAGATTTTTAGAATAAAAGCAACCTCAGGGTTGACCCAAAAATAGCTGTATAAACATTGCTTGAAATCCCTAGGTTGCGTCTTCCTGGCTTCCACTGAGGGCAGAGGGAGGCAAGGCTGAAATTTAGCAAATATGTGCTACTATTCCTTTTTATATATGAAAGAAATGACCAACTAATATTACATTAGTAGAACTAAACTTGTTTGCACGTAGGTACATTAAAATGAAACACTTTAAATAAAAAAACTGCAAAAAAATTACATACTCCCAATCCTTTTTTCTAGAGGGTTAGGCAGAGGCTTAATTTTATGAAAGTTTAATATGCAGGTAACTTTAATGTTAGTAGTCCCACTGACTGCAGTGAGAACCATTAGGTGTCTTAAATTGGAGAGCCAGAAATGATTGGTCACTTTTGAAAATGGAGGACATGGCAAAAGGAACACTAAAAGCATGTGTTAGCTTGCACTATAACAACAATGAATTTACCTGTGTACCTTTGCTAACCTTAACAGAGGACAGAGAAGTTGCTGGAAACAATTGATCAGCTTTACCTGGAATTTGCCAAGAGAGCTGCTCCTTTCAACAACTGGATGGAAGGCGCAATGGAAGATTTACAGGACATGTTTATTGTTCACAGCATAGAGGAAATTCAGGTAAGTGGGAGCATGCTTTTAGTTTCCAATTCTAAAGAAATCAAGAGAGGAATCCTTGTCTTCTTGTGGCATGAATACATGTATAAGAGAAAACATATCTTACCTTGAAATTATCTTTCTAGGAGAATGTCTTCTCTGTTGTATAAGACTTTTCTATAAAGAAAGATGAACTGCAAGAAGAAAAATAGCCCTTTCAGGAAAATAGGCCCAATACTTTTCCCCTTGGAAAGAATTCATAGCCGGAGACCTAGAAGGCAGAAATATAACTATAGCTTACTTGTAAACATCATTTTAAGGGATTCATTTTGTTTTTCTTAGGCTGTAGTCAAAATCAAAGTTACAGTAATACGTTTGTGCAGCTGTACTGAAAGGATGCTGTCAGGTGTTTACTACCTACATGTAGACCTGAATCCTGCATCATAATACATTAGAGAGGGACTGCTCAACTGGTGGCAGTTAACATGCAGTCCCTGACGGCATCTCCCCACCTTGCAGTGGAGGGAGTCCCTGGAAGACTTCATGTCACCTGTGCAGCATGTGGGTGGGGGGGAGTGGGGGGGCTTATGTGCTGGTAGCGCAGTCCATGTGGTGGGGTGAATTCCTGGTGGCTGTCCCCACAGCATGGGCTTCTGCAGCATGTGGCCCCCAGCAAGGGTGTCAGTTTCATGTCCTCTTCCCCTGCAAAGACAATATACATATGGGATAAAATCTCAACCCTATTGACATTAATGGTAAATTTCCCATTTGTTTTCCATGGAACTTGAATTCAAATTGTGAACTCTTTGGGTATGTGCAGAAGTGCTCTATGCACATTTTACTGTGCTGTAATCTAGAGCACTTTTTATAGCACAATAAAGTTATAGTGCTTTTAAACATGACAGAAGAGCAGTGCTTGGGGGTGGGGGGTGGACTCTGAGCCTCCCTGCACTTTCCAGGCTAGGAAGCAGGGGGCACTCCACAGTCTCCTGGGGCTTCTCCACTAGTCAGAAATTTGACCAGCATACAGAAGTTATTTAAAATACAGTGCCTCAAATGTAATGCCTCAGTTATCAAGGGTTAATTTAAAATGCTGTACCCATTTAAAGTGCTGTAAGTGCCATGCACTTCTGTTAAGTCACGGCAATAACGTGCTTTAAATGGTGAAAAAAGAAATTCTATACACAGCCTTCAGGTCACTGAAGAGGAAATTTGCAATGAAAAATTGTAGTATAAAGACTTCCTTGCACCAGTTGATCATATTTTGCTGATTTTTAAGTAGTTAAGAGACAGTAGCAGGATAAAATGGCACATTTATTAAACACCTGTTTTTTTCTAACAACACTTGAGTTTAATAAAACTGCAAAGTTAAAAAAAAAAAGATATTTTTTTTACCTGTCAACCTTTCTCAGTGAATGAATGGTAACACTAAGTGGTCCAGTTTCACTTTTTATGCATTAGCACAAATATTAGATTTTCATTATTT